CTCCGAACAAAAGACCAGGCTGCTGGGTATTACTGACATTTTTCACTCTCAAAAGTGGTAATAATCCAGCCTTGTTTTGAAACCGTATACCAGGGTTTGGGGCATTGAGAGCGAGGGGATTACCACCAGGGACAAAAGCGCTCCACCACCGCAGTGATGAGCCACACAGTACCGCTGCACGCTAATCTGGCCCCTATTGAAAAGAGGCCGGTAGTGCACTGAGCCAGGTTTGTGAACAAAAGACAGTTATACAACACCGCACAATCTGGGCTCTGTTTACAAGGCTGCAGGCCTGGCTGAAATACTCAGGCATCAATGAAGGTCACCTGTCAACTTAGAGTAGTGCCTAAAGATTATTTGGTGCGGGTATAAACGACCGTTAAATGACATGATGAATTTTTGAAGGATTTTGAAAACGGAAAAAATGATAGTCATGCCGGCCCAGCATCATCAACATTGAAAAATGACCCGGCATGAAGTGGTTAACTTTGTAGAGTTACAGAGCTGAGTTGATTCAAGTTTTGAAATGACAAACAGAGAAAAAAGTGTCTTGGAACAGTGCTCAATCGAGCGATGTAATGGGTTGGATGATACACACTTCTTCCATCAGGCAGTACCCTCCCATGCAAAACATGTAAAGCCCATAGACATGATAGAAACATGAGTCTATGGGTGCTGCACCACCCCCAACTCCTTGGTGTGGTGAAAGTATGGAATATATATTCCAAGTGTGGAATATACTTTTTCATAGACAGGAATACATATTTCTCTAACCCAGCACCCCCTACAAAAATGGGTTTAAGCCAGCTTGATCAGTGTTATTTATAATGTTAAGTGTACATGTACCTTCAGAGTGAAGTAAAGCAGTTGACAAAACCAACATCACTGCGTTGAGTTGTGTACTGGTTGATACATAAAATTTGAGGGTCCGTTTGACATTAAAGCACAATTAGCCCAAAAATACGATCACCAGTTCTAAAATTCTGTGTAACTGAAAAAAATTTTTGTTTTGTCAAAATGTTTTTCTTGTAGAGTTGTAAAGCCCATTGAGGCAGTTTTGCGTCCCAAGGGTCAGGGCCTTGGAGCAGACAGAAGACCAGGAGATATGCTTGAGAGAAAGAGGTCTTTGAAGGTAAAACCTGGGGATAAGAAAGAGGAAGAGGAAGTCAAGAGGTTTTCTAAGGGGGTTGGAGTACTTGTCTGTAGTGGAGCTCACAAAAACCTGTATGGAAAGGTAAGAAGACTCGGACTAAAATGTTGACTTGCTGATATTTCCTCTAATTAATCAAAGGTGTGATGAAATGCAATTTTATGCTCCACCTTGTCCTGCTTGTGTATGCAAGCTTAGCATACCAATTGCAAAGACCAGGATTTTCCCTGAAAATGAAATCTGGTGGATTTTGTGCAACATTTGACCAATTATGTGGCGAGGCAGCAGGCACAGGATTTCTTCCTCCAACTGCTCTGCCTTTGTGTGCTGCTTGAGCTGGATATGCTGCTCTAATTTGACTACGATCGCAACCTCCTTGTCCATGAACCGGAGTGAGAGCAGCTCCACGGCCACATCCTCCTCTAGTGCGAGCTCCATGATCATGTGGTTAGCCTCTCATTCTGGGTCCACCTGCTACTGGTAGAATATTATCATCACTTGAAGTATTGGAATATGAAGAAGAAACTGTTGTGGTTCTTCCATCTGACAGAGAATCACTTCTTTCACAGGCCTGTGATTCATCCTAATCACTTCTCTCCATGGGCATTTCTGAAGTTTCATTTTGATCAGATTCATCATCACAATCTATTTCATAATCATTATCACTGTCCGAATTCATCATGAGATGGCAAACACGGCTCAGTACACTAACATACATGAGCACAAGTGGAACACAGAATAATCTAGTGTATAGATATACAGAATTTCATGGCCACTGTACATCTAGGATACCATATTCATAACATGAGTCATTTGCTCACTGTGACTCTAGTCAAGTCGATTCATTTTCCCATCAGGAACTCGGTAGCCAGAAATTGTGACCGGAATCTAGTCATTGACTCAAATCATTGCAACATGTGTTATTTGCTTTTTGTCTATTTGGCCAGCAAGTTTCTTACTTTAACATGAGAAGGACTTAACCACTTCCTGCCGGGGATTCCGGATCCGGACACATATGTTTTATATGCATGGCCGGGGTCTCTGAACTTGGACAAAGGGAACGGGGCCTTGTAACAAAAGACTGTACTCCGAACAAAAGACCAGGCTGCTGGGCATTACCGACATTTTGTCACTCTCAAAAGTGGAGATAATCCAGTCTTGTTTGGAAACAGTATACCACGGTTTGGGGCATTGAGAGCCAGCGGATTACCACCGGGGACAAAAGCGCTCCGACACCGCTGCGATGAGCCACACAGCACTGCTGCTTGCTCATTTGGCCTCTATTGAAAACAGATCAGCAGCGCACTGAACCAGGTTCGTGAACAAAAGAAACTTGTATAACACCGCACAATCTGGGCTCTTTTTACAAGGCTGCAGGCCCGGCTGAAATACTGAGGTGTCAATAGATTTTGTCATTCAGGCTAGAGTGGACACCAGAGAGTCCTTTACATGTTTGTAAGTGTCCAGTAAATGAAGATAGGAATTTTTAAAGAATTTTGAAAACAGAAAAAAATGATTATTATCCCGGACCAGCGTCATCAACATTGATAACTGCCCCCGGCAGCAAGTGGTTAACAGAAAGTTCAGATTTGGTATGTGGGCTGGTCTTGAAGTTTTGTAGAAGCTGATTTTGTACCCCAAAGATCAAAGTCATTTAAATGGTTAAAGCAATCAAAATGTTTTTCTCACCGGAACTTTAGAAAGGCTGTACATGTTGAATTAGAAGTTGGATTGGAGTTTGTTTTTGGCATCCCCCAGAGGCCTTTTGATTTTGGACCCCATGGTCAAAAGTCAAAGCCATTTAATGGTTCAAAAGTAGATCTCTAGTTTTCTCACCATAATGCAAGCAAGATAATTGGACATACTAGCTACAAACTTGGTACATGTATGTGAGATGGTCTTGATGTCCTGCAGAGGCCAATGGATTTGGACCCATAGGCCACAAGTCAAGATGATTGAATTGCTAAAACAATAAAAATGCTTTCCTACCACAACTCAAAGGGTAGGTGCAATGTTTTGTTTTTTATTACAGACCTTCCCAGTTGCACCTTTGTGTTCCAGTTAACCATATTTTCAACTTTTGTTTCACTATTTCAAAGGGTATTTTGCTGTCTTTCAGATTTTATGCTAATGAGTATTTTCATATTCATGAACAAAACAAGAAAGTCTATAAATGTACACAAAAATGTCAAAAATGTTGCTGGGCAAAAGTTTCTCTTCTTTGCTAATTTACTGGGTAAGCGGACACCAGTGGTTTTCCCAGCAATGTTTTCAGGAAGTAAATTCTGGGAACACATTTTAATACAAAACCTATGCAATCAATAAATGTCTTCCCAGGATAACATCTCCACAACAGTGCCCTCACTTGTCTTGGAAAGCATGGATAACATTGCACCTTTCAGAGCATTAAACCTTACATGTACATGCAAGTAAAGGGAGTGGCAAGTTCCTCAAAATATGGACCATTAGATAAAGTTCAACTTTGGGGGTTTATTTTTCCTGAAGTGAACAGCAGTGAATTAATTCCCAATGTCTGATGAAATGTGGGAAGTCATGGTTTATATCTGGAGCAATGCTGACCATGCCCATCTTTCAACTTAATCAGAATTGAAGTCTCGAACGTCAGCATTTTTTGGATGTGAACAACCTGTTGAAATTCTGGCCAATAAAAGTTACTGGGGAATGATACTCCCCGCTGTTATTTTACACAGATTTATATGTGATGAAAGGTGATAACATTTACACATATTAAAACCATAATCTCGATATTAAAAATAGCTCTCACTAATAATTGTTAATTTTAATTTCATTTTCAGCGGGGATATCTCCAAACTAAGAGGCAATATGACCATTGCACTTGGAATTTTCAAGCACTGCATATGACAGCATTTTCAGCATTCTTGAATGTTATGCATATTTTGTCAAAATTCTCGAGTGTCGTCAAAACTCCGTCAGATATTACTTTTGCAACGAACATATAACATATTGTACTCATTACATGTTTTTGATGCAACCAAAACTTAAAGATTATTGTCTGTGATTGAAAGGTATAAGACCTGGCAGATATGCTGGTATAGGGAGAGTGATTATAAACGGTAAAAGGATGAAGAGAGCCAAACTTTTCTCATTATTTTCCGTCAATTTTCATGGCTTATATTTTTTCAAGTTATTTCTTAGCTGCTTTAGAATACATCAGTTTAAAAATACTCTGAATTTTCCTTGTTAATGAGAGAAGTTTTGACATCAAGTCCTCTGGTACAAACACTTTGACGTAAAACTTACGTTTCAGCTCTTTGCTAGCTATTTTCAGCTTTAATTTTAAGTGGCCACTTACACCCTGGAACTTTGTGTGTAATTTTTAGGAAAAATAGAAATGGTGTTAAATGACAGGGTAGCTCTAGTTTCATTGCTTCCAATGCTAACAGCTAACTATTATTAAAAACTTGCTTTGTTGTAGATTGAGGGAGTAGATGAGGATAATGCTCGTCTGGTCATCAAGCTGGCACTCAGTGGCCAAGCAGTAACTCTCAGTCAATATAATGTGACGATTGTTGAGAAGGAGGAATACAAGCGATTCTCAAAAGACATAAGTAAGTAACTTTCTGTTTCCTTAAACTGCATGTCATGAGTAGTTTGAATATTAATGCAGCCTTCTTCAACTGAGTAATCATGCAAAGATTGGGGCACATTTTTCTCTCCACAAGAAGTTCTAATGGGGTAACTTTATACATGTACCCCACCAGCCAAGCAAAGGAACATACAGTTTCTGCCTTGCCCATTTGGTGTACATGTATTTGTGTGCATGCTTGATGGTGTACCAACTTTGCATACCTTGTGTGGACCCCTGAACAGATGAGGCCCAAATAATACAGCTTGTGGGAACCTCATATGAGTTACATGTAAGTCTGGTTTAAACAAGGTTACTCCCTTTCTGGAAACAGTTGAATTGACATTTTTGTGGTAAAGGTGTGTCTGTTCCAAAGGGAAAAGAATGAAGGAATGTCCACAATACTAGTACCAGTAGGTGGAGTAAAGTAATGTACGTGTTTGATGTGGACAGGTCTACACCACGTTGGGGGAAGGAACACCACTGATAAAATCTCTGAATACATGTAGGACTGCTGTATAATGCAGGAATATCTTACTTGAAAGAAAGTACATAAAAGCCTCAGTCAGTCTGTAAAATATTTCTGCCAATGCGATCATATTTTCACCATACAGTTGCCATTTGCCTAGGAAATACCCTACAAGTATACATATGTAAGGGTGTGTGTGTACATACATGTACGTTCATGAATATTCAGCGCACATACATGTAGCGATTAATGGTGTAGTTCTGTCAAATCTGTGCACAATTAAGTACTTACCATGTATATTATTACATGTACTAATTCCCCATAAGTTTTACTGTAGACTAAGATCAAAAGTTATTGCTGCCTTTTTTACAAGCGAAAATATTTTTCCCTTTAGGGTCAATTGATTACTAAACTTTCATGAAAGTGCTGGTGCCTAGATTTTTGCCCATTAGGAGCCAATGGCTACCAAATAATTGTTTTCTGTTGAAAGGGTTGTTCACATGTAGGTTTTGCAAGTTTTATGTGGACTAAAGCAGGAGCACACATTACAAGGCTACCCTCTTTATTGAAACAAATTTAAGAGGTAATTTTGGGTTATGGTTTATTTAAACCAGAATAAAAAATTCCGTGTTCACATAACCCCCCCAATTGAGTATTTTCACAGCATTGTTTTTTCACGTAACAGTAAAGTAATTCCCACACTAGAGGCCATTTAACTACAGACAAATCTCGGATGCAGGTTGGACACATGGTTGAAAACAGCTAAAGATTCGCATGTGACAATTTTCAACCTGGCATCAACTCTGTTTCCACTCCAGTCTCCATTGTTGACTTTATCCCAAGTTAACTCAACCGTGCTATGGACCAGGGTTGAGAGTTTTCAACCCAAGTTGATACTCTTTTTCCTGGGTTGAAATCATTGTAAAGAAAACCGGGCTGAGTTTGCCATTGGTAGAGTGTCATCTCATGGAAATATTTTTGTTGTCTTGGCATACATGTACATAATACTATCACTAGATTGGCTTGCAAAAATTCATGACGTCTTGATGGCTTGATGCTTCTGGCAGAAAATGTATAGCCTTCTTACCACATGGCCATTCTGAAGTTGTCATGCTTTCTTTTCTCAAGTTCTATGTCTCCGCAGATGTATAAAATAGCAAAAGAACAATTATTGGTGAATGTCAAACAGCAGCAATTGCATTCAAGGTTGATCATTGTGATGTCATGCACATTACAAGACAACCCTACTTGCTCCTGCTTAAGAGTCGTGGCTGCATTGTACATTGTGAATTGTTGATACTCATTGCCGGGTTACATGTAAATGCGGGGTTGAAACTTAAATGTTTAAATTAGGGCAGACATGGGTTTGCCCAGGGTTTAGTTTAACTGGGGTTGAGCAGCTCCAGTGTGAAACGGCTTTTAGGTACATGTACATGTAGGTAGTGTACAGTAAAGATCATACAGTGCTGTATAATGGCGAAAGATGGGGAACTCTGCCAAAAAGGTGTAATCACCATGGGCACCATTCCAGGAAGCAATACCCGTGCCCAGTGGATGTTTTCAAAGGGGCAGGCACCCAGGGCGCACACCAGGGTATGTCAGCAAAAATGTCATCTTTGTCACTGTCCGGCAATTTACTGTCAATGTTAACTGTGTTTAGGCCTATGAGAATGAAATTTTGTGTTAAATATACATGTGGATGTAAGATATTCTTGTTGATCGCTATTTGTATGTGTGCCATTGGTTGGTGTTACTTTATTAAAAAAAAAACACAATCAAAATAAAAATAGATGGAAGCAGTGATGCACATCTCGTGGAGGTATCATTAGAGAATAGGGAGTCTTCAAACATTTTTTTCTTTCAAGAAGATTGCTCACTTGTGCCCGTCTCCTCCAAATTTTCTGTCCTGATGAAAATATGTGTAAATGAAGACAATGGGAATGGACTTGTCTTGTAGTGCCATTTGATATAACAATTGTTACTGTCAGTGTTTACTAATTGACAACTGCGGGGAGGATTTTTTTGCATCAGATCTCGCAGGAGTCATTTAAGGAATTTGTTATTTTTGTTTTAATTAAATATTTAACGTAGACTGTTTTTCACTAAATACTATAATGATATTATGAACCCTTATTCAATCTGTTTCGTGAACAAAATAACCAAGAATGAGTCACTTTGTTACAAAGGGCCGGATGTTATTCCTCCTAATGTTGTGGCTTATGTACATGTACATCTCAAGTACTTTGTCCAAACTTTGCTTGCTCAAATGCGTGCCCACGCGAATTACAACATTTTAAGCATATTCACGGGGAAATTATCCATTTTGCACTGCTGTGCGACGCAACTCCATATGCCATTCTTAAGAATGTGAAACTCCTCATGCCAGTTTTCAAAACATCTCAAAGAGTGACTTTAGTCATTTAAAACACAAATTTCCACTTTCAGGTTCATAAAAATGATTATTTGGGGATAATCAGGTAGACTGCGTACATTTTGTGGACATTTGGTTGGCTACTAGTGCAAATCCAGGGGAGTGGAACTCATTAAATGTTTGAAGTCAAAATGTTTGTAGCAGATAACTTTATCCCAAAACTTCTTTCAACAACATAGAAGATTCAGTATATTTTTCAACAGAAAGTGCCATACATGTACCTTGGTAATTTCTGTCTGGTTTAACAGTTTAACAGTTCCATTGCAGCACTATTAAAAGCCATCTGTGATGACTCATAATGAATCAGTGACCACTGCATGTCACAGTGGAGTGAGCAACCTTATGTGATTTGAACTCATTAGTTTAAGTCTGAGGTGGCTCCAATCACTCTTTTGTTTTGTTTCATTTTAGGGTGAATGAACTCGAGCACTTAGTACAGTTTAAGTTCTCCTTTTTGGCACATTTCTGTGTTATTTCCTTAAAAGTAGTGTTTGTATCAGTCTCGGAATTTGGTGTGGAGGGCCATCCCTGATTCAAAGAAGTGCTTCAAAGCTTAATGTCATTGTGATATCCTCAGGTACTGGTATCAAATTATAGGGAGTTTAAAAACATGGACTGTGGAATAAACTGGGTCAACTTTTTATGGAGTTTGATAGATACCAAAATCTTATGGGTGCAAGTGAAACAAAATGGAGGGGTAGTCACAGAATACTTACTCAGAACACATAGGTAAGTGTAGTTCTGTATAAGAAAGCCTGTCAGTGACCATATCATCTAATTTTGGCATGTGGAGACCACTGTTGTACAGTGCAGTGGAGGCAGAGAAGGATTCATTCTATGGCCAGCTCTACTGAGTGAAATTCCCAAGCATGAGGACAAATTGCTAATAAGCAGCTTGAACACACAGACTGACAATAACAGACAAGGGTTGGAACATTTAATTAGACCACATGGAATATCATGACAAACCAACCACAATGGCTAACATACTCCTGTTTTGCAACATTGTGTGCTTACCAACAATAAAATTGGTTGAATCTGAGGTACATGTACTTTCATAATATAACCAACTTAGTTACACAAATATAAATGCAATGCAAAAATGCATCTTGAAACGGCCGGCCAGCCGACCCCGGCAAGCTCTCTGGTTGAGTGGTTAAGACGTCTGCACTAGTAAGCAGGAGGTCGTGGGTTTGAGTCCCACCCAAGTAAGTTTGTGAATTTTTTGCAAACTCTTGGACAAGCACTGAGCACACAGTGTTTATCAATACAGTCGAACCTCGATATTAAGAGCTCCTTTGGACTTGGCAAATTACCTTGTTATAACAGGAACCTTGTATTATTAGGAGTGAAAACAATGAAAAACAAAGGATTGGGACCTAAAATTTCCTTGTTATAAGCAGAATCTTGTATTAACAGTGCTTTTATTACAAAGTTCGACTGTATATACATTGGGTAAGGCCACCCATTATATAAATTAACATCTCCCCAACGCAAAAATACATCTCGAAAAAGAATTCAATCTAGCAAGCATGTCACGTTATTTCTGATGATGTCATATCGATATCTGGTTTGTTGAAAAACCTTGATCTGCTCAGGAGATACATGTATGTCAAAAACATTGTTAAAATAAGAGTAGTTGTTTCTGAAAAACTTATTTTGGCCCCTCCCCAAGACCTGGGCATGGCACTAGTGAATAAATCTTGAGGCTGATGGGGGTAAAATAGACATCTGTATTCATGATACCACATTTTGTTTATAATATGTATCCTTTCTATAGTGCTCATTGGAATGTGGGCCTCCACTGGTTCCGTAGACAAGTGCATGTGTGAACAGTGTTACCGAGAGGAGAAAAGTTTTGCTAAAAGGGAGGGGAGGGAGTCTGGTGGTCTTAACCCAAAGTAATCAATCACGCATACATACTATAGACAATGGATCAAACTCAAAAGGGTGTGCCTAGCTACAAAAGAAACTCTAGAACATATACTACAGGTAGTTACGTAATTACAACAAAAGCAAAACTGGCATTTACAAAAAACCATGGCATCCCTGGAGAGCGAGGAACATTCATGGCGAGCGAGGGCGCATTGACTAAATTGAAAGGGAGCACTCCAAATATAGAGGACACACCTCAAAATACCAGGTATGGGACCATTGATGACACTTCGGCGACCTGTCACAAACGTTTGATGTGATCAGTACATGGGCCTTTTTTCCCCTTACTACGTAAAGATGATTGTGATCAGCTTATGAGTTGACAACTTTGCTCAAGGTGCCTAAGTTTATTATTTAATAGCAAGACAGGGGAAAGCATCATTTATTTGGAAAAGATCTGGGAGCCATGCCTTCTTTCCTTGGATGGGAAGCCTATGCATGTGACTGCTGACAGTTTACATTTCTACAATCCTGGACAAAATACATGTAGTTGGAACACCTCGTGGGAAGCAAAGTGAAAAGATCCCCGTCTCCCGCGTTCAATGTTGCTGTCATTTATTGGGCCCAGCTTACCCAATTAGAAACAACATTGACGGGGCTAGTGGGAGGCATGTTCCAATGAGATTTGTCCAGGATTGTCTGTAAAAAATCCGCCTATTACATTGTACCTGTGATTGCTTGTGTACACGGTGGGTATGTTTATTGTGCGTTATCCAACTATCTCCTCCAGGCTAAGCTGCACGTTGTCCTTGTTGAGGAGGGAAATCATTGGTGGTTGGCAGGAGAAAGCAAGGCAAGCATTTCCCAAGATGGTCTTTTGTGGGGGTTCATTTCCCCCGAAAACTGGACCTATACTCAATATTTGCGAATACCGTCCAGAAGAGGGTGCAGATATTCGTGATTAGCCCTTTCTGATACAGACGCACTTGTCTATATCAGAATCCCAATCAATTCATAGTGCATCTTATGGTCCTGTCTGAAACATGCATCAATCCACCTTCCAATTCAAGGAACGCGTTGTCCTCTCTTGTCACATACTTCAATGTAGTATAATAGTTTCAGTGAACAGATGAAAAGTTCACCTGGATAACAGTCGTTATTTATTCCATTCCATAACCACCTAATGCTTACAGTATCACATGGCAGCGCCCTAAACAGCAATGCGGCAAACCCCCCGCCCTGCCATGTGACACAGACCCACATGCATCACACCCACTTTCTGCTGAGAAACTCAAACAATCCTGGACAAAATAATTTGAACACCTTGTGGGAAGCACGGTGAAAAGATCCCCCTCTCCCCATTCAATGTTACCGTCATTTATTGGACCAAGATTGGGCCCAACTTACCCAATGGAAAACAACATTGACATTGGGCGAGGGGAGGCATGTTCCAACGAGATTTGTCCAGGATTGTAGTAATCACTGCCATAAACAATTTACATGTATGCTTCATCGGTTTTCTCAAGGAAACAACGTTCTTATAAGAAAACATGTTTTCTCTTAAACAAATTGAAAGGAACAATCCCCACTTTATAGTTAATCCAGATGGTGTAGAGCAAAGGAGCCTTCTTGACACACAAAAAATACTTCACCTCACTCATTTTGCTCACACTGCAATTCAAGTGAAACTTAATTTCTGCATCAACAACTATATCTGCCAATTTCTTGCTTATGAACAGACTGCTGATGAACTCAACAGAAATGAGCACATTGCAATCAGTTACTACATTCATAGGGGGATACATGTACATGTAGTTACTGAAAACCTGAGGTGTATGTGTGTAAACAATCATTTGTTTTAAGATCAAAAGGAAGCCAAGATGCATCTTTTGTTGCCATTTGAATGGAAGTGTTGTATATCTATTTCTTCCAATACCAAGTTATAAATTGGATAAAAGGTTATATTCCCAAGTCTTGGGTTTGTGAAACGGGTGTATGCAGATTTCACATTATGGAACTTCCATTTAACAAGAGGACAATGTACTTTACCAATTATGAATTTATTTAAAAACTTAGTCCAATGATAATGGGCCACTGTCATGCTAGCCACTTTCAGGGAGGAATCTTATAAACATATAAATTTGAAGGTGGATTCAGGTTTTTACAATTGAGATTACTTTCATGCTCATCAAACAAAACCAGACTAAATTCAATTACAACTTTCAAACAGGAGTGTGGTCATCCTTCGCATGGGCTTAGCATCAAAACATTACTTAAAAGTTCATGCTTCATATGCTTGTTCCACAAAAGGGCCTACTCATAAAGTCTTCGGACATGTTAGAACTTTCTCTGAGTTAATGTATCTTTATGTTTATTTCTTGCAGTGATACATGTACTCATGAAAATTATGACTTAGAGTGGCTACCCTGAGTCATTGTACAGTATGTTTACAGTTCAGTGTTTCTTGCCGTGTCATGTATTTTGCCAATACAGCATAAGCAGTATGAGTATATCAATGACCGCACCAAACAAGGACCATTGCATTTTTCAGTTGAGCTTGTCACATCTTTATGAATAGCATCTTCCGTGCAATCTCTACTGGGCTAAAATCCAATCCAGAGGAGTGTCCATCAGTTGCACTCTGCTGCCATCAGCTGCTAACGTGTATTCACTAAAAAAATTTTTTTTTTTAAAACTATGTTGTCAATGCCAGTTGGCTATAGAGGTTTTTCACATGATGTAGCATGACAGGCAGAGGCATTTAAGGAAGCACACCGTGTCCATGGAGACACGTGCATTTTTGAATTAGTGCATTTCTATTGGTGATATCGTGTATACCAGAATGTTGAGAGACATCAAAGGCACGTTTCAGTCCACATCTGTGTAAATTGAACTCTGAATGTCAAAAATCATGTGACTGAAAATCGTCTATACCAACATATGCAGCCACAATTGTCAACAATATATGTGACCATAAATAAAATACATCAAACTTGATCATGAGTTGTCTCCAAGAGGCAGTATAGCCACCTAACAGGGCATCTTATGTGAACATTTTCTGAGTTTGGACTCCATTTTGTCGAATGTTTTGCTGGAATCACACAGGTTCTCTTCCTTGACTGTCTGCGTCTTGGCATCTTGCATGCTGTTGGCATTGGTGACGACCATATGGAAACCAGGCTTAACTTAAACAAGTATCAATTTCTCTAGCTATTCTTTTCTGACTCCCATCGCATACAAAGATTGCACCACCTCTTACCAATCAGTAGGTAATCAGATCTGTTACATAAATGTCATATCTTTCCTTTTCAGGTCATTTTAGTAAAGGATGGGAGAAGAGTCAAGGCAAAGGATCCCAGAGAGATTACAGACAGAGTGAATATCGAAGCAGTAAGGACAAGGACTCCAATAAATACAGAACTAGTAATCATAATAAAACAAGTGATAGTCCTGGAGAGAGATATGGAGACAGCAGTGTGAAAGGAAAAGACAGTGGGAGTCCTAGAAATGGTCATCCAAGGGAAGACAAGATGAGTGACTGGAATCATAAGGATAAGCCCTTTGAAACACAGTACAGTGACAGGAAGGAGAGAAGCCTGGAGAGATGTGGAAAAAGGAGAAAAATTGATAAGACTTCAAGGAGGTGAGTGCAAAAAGTAGTGCTATGATTAATTCTTTAGTACAAGTGAATCACAAGACAACTACTATTATTATTGTTCACAATATATAGTGCCTTATTCCCAGAGGCTCTGGTGCTTTACAATCAATTCAAATGAAATATTTAAATATACATATAGATATTAACCACTCCCTGCCGGGGCATTTTTCAATGTTGATAATGGTTGGGCGTGATATTTATCATTTTTTTTCTGTTTTCAAAATTCTTTAAAAATTCCTATCTTCATGTACCAGACACCTACAAACACGTGAAGGCATGTCTGGTGTCCACTCTAACCCGACAGACAAAATCTATTGACACCTGAGTATTTCAGCCAGGTCTGCAGCGTTGTAAAAAGAGCCCAGATTGTGTGGTGCCACGTAATATTCTTTTGTTCACGAACCTGGTTCAGTGCGCTGCTGACCTCTTTTCAATAGGGGCCAGATTAGCATGCAGCAGTGCTGTGTGGCTCATCGCTGCGGTGGTGGAGCGCTTTTGTCCCCGGTGGTAATCCGCTCGCTCTAAATGCCCCAAACCGTGGTATACTGTTTCAAAACAAGACTGGTTTATCTCCACTTTTGAGAGCGAAAAAATGTGGGTAATGCCCAGCAGCGTGGTCTTTTGTTACAAGGCACTGTTCCCTTTGTCCGAGTTTGGAGACCCCAGCCACACGTATAAAGCATACGTTTCCAGATCCGGGATCCCCAGCAGGATGTGGTTAAAGACAATATGTTAAAAGTGGTGAGTTGTACTCAGACCCACTCCAAATAACACACACAACTACATGTACTCCCACACCATAGTTGTGGCGACATACACTCGACATTTCACCTATTTTGTGTGGACTGAAAACATTGTGGGGACTCAGAAATGTCCTCACAACTCAGTTCAAATCTCCCTAACAAAAGAACTTGTCCCCTGAATGCAGTGAATGCCTACCCTCCATACAAGCCATGCAGTCGCAAGACAATTCAAAGTCTTTTCAGTCAAACTGACTCAAAGGCACTTCTTTGTCACTGCTCATCTTCTGTAACCCTTGACCAGCTTGCGATTTGACCTCTGATGCATGGTTGGCTCAAGTCTGACTTGTGCACAAGTTCTTATTGAGCTCCTGAAAAAGACAATATTTGCAGGCCACAATGAACATATTTATTCACTAAAGAGTGACTGTGTGCCAGCCATGCAGCTAAAGAAGGTTTGTAAGAAGCAAAATATTCAATTTTGAGGAGGGAATGTTTGGCATGATAGTGTTTCATCTACTTTTGAAAGTTTTCAGAGGAATGATCTCTTTTTAAGTGAGCAACTATGGCAACAGTTATGTTGTAACTTAAGTTTTGTTTTCTTGATGTACATGTATAATGTATACAAAATTATGATGTATATAATTTGTTCATAAATTTTTGCTTCTGCAGTGAAATTATCAATAGTGGTGATACCCATATTGGGAATGCAGAGTCCAAGTACCAAACCTGTTGGCTTAGGCCTGATCTGAGGGTGCGTTTCATTGACAGAGAGTACAAGAAGGGCAGATACTACAATAGCAAAGTCTGTATTGTGGATGTTGTGGCACATGGAATTTGTACTTGTCAGAGTGAAAATGGCAGGATTTTAGAAGGCGAGTAACTGTTGTGTGGTTTTAACTGTAACAAAGACCATCCTAATAAAAAGGTTTTTTATTTGGGGTGGCTATTTCAATTACAGATTTGTACATATGCATTTACATACATGGGTAGGCCTTCCATGGACAATTTCTTTCATAAGAAAGGTCAGAACCCATAAAATTTTGGTCCCCATAACATTTTGGTGCCCAAAACACTATTTCAACATTTGCATTGTCCCCATAACCTGGTAACAAGAATGTGTTCACATGTAATGTTCACCTACATGTATACCTGAATTGTAAGTCCCTTTCTTGTAGTTTCTGGTCTTAATTCACATGTCATTCAAAGTCTCATCCCTGCAGCAAAAATAATCAACATAAGATTCGAAAAACCTCACTTTTCCTTTTGTAACAGTGAAGCTTTTGGGAACCTCCAGGAGCACTTTCACGTGATCATTTTTGTATGTTTGTTGTAATTTCCAGGTGAATATTTTCTTTAGATTTTCAAATAAAATTCCAAAGAAGCAATGACTTTTGGGAATGGAAAGTAATATTTAAAACAGTCAAGATGATAAGGCCTAAGCTAGGTGGCATTTGTAGGCTTCATCAAAACACCTGTATACCAAGTGAAAGATGATAACCACAGTATTTGTCTTTTACAGATATTGAACAAGGCATGGTAGAGACATTAATACCAAAGACGGAGATGGCCTGTGTCATGATTGTTGCTGGAAAATACAGTGGACAGGTACATGTATAGAGGGTGTTTACCCCAAACGCAAGCCAACAGTAATATTTACTTTCTCTTATACCTTAGAATGTTATTTATTCAAATCTGAAGGTTTCATTTAAATTCAGTAATGTGTTGTGGAGGAATTAAAAGGCTATGTTTACTCCATTTACCACCCTAGACTAACACATGAGCTCATTTAAAGAGACACAGAGGACACTGAACAGGATTAAAATCTTTCCATAAACAAACAGGATTATGAAATGTGACAAGTACAAAAATATCAGCTCCTTGTTACCAGACTGCATAAGATCAGCCGAAGTTGTTTTCTCAGAAAAAAAAAAAATTGAAATCTGAAACTGCCAAATCTGAAACTGCACAATTAATTAATTTGAAATAACCTTTGCCTTTTGGAATGAGCATCAGTTTTATCAAGTTTAAAACGAGAAAGAAATTGCAACGAAGTAAAGAACTTAGTTGTGTGATAATGTAGGATTTGGATTAAGTGATTGCATACACTTGCAAGATAAATTTTGTAAATTTCTGTCAGACAGAACAAAGTTGAGCTTTGTTAACATAACTTGAAATATCTCTGCAACACAACAGGAGCTTCAAATGAAGTTTGCAGCATTGAGTAGAAATTGTAAATGTTCCTTTTTGGTTGCATGTTTTGGGGGATACCCTGCATTCTCTTCCAGTGAGCCGGTAACGTATTTTAACAGAGCATGTCTCACGAAATGTTTAATGGCCATTTTGAGAACATCATCATGTATGCACAAGAACAGCTCTTTCAGGGCAGCAAAGCAAATGGTAGAAAAGTGTGTGGGTGTGTGGGGGGTGATTACATGTATATTGGTTATTCCTCCAGGTCAAAGTGTGTGGGTGTGTGGGGGGGGATTGGATCTCTCATCCCCCAGAATTTCCACCCATAATGATGACAGTAGCTTTGGCATTCATGGGAGTTTTTTTGTTATTTGTTTGTTGAGCTGTGTTTATGCACTATAACAATAACATACATCATGTACATGTAGGCAGATAGGTTCTGCATGTCATGTGTGGCCATGGTGGTTTGGTATTTCTTGACTGTTTGTGTTCAGCGCACTCTTCACTCTTACACACAAATTTGTGCATGGTTCGTCAACTCCGTGCCAAGCCCATTTTCCTTTGAGCATGGAGGAATTTTTAATGATGGGTTTTGCCCATTATGAGGAATTTAATAAAAAATCACTATCTTGATTGCTGGAGTTGGATGGCTGGTCTGAGTCCCATTCAACAGTGGCAGGCTTATTGCAAACTATTAAAAGATGTTCAAATTTTACAACTCTGCGACACAAAATACATCTTGTGACATGGAGGAAGGCAAACTCCTGCATGCTTTCAATAAAGTCCATTCAAAGGGAAATCAGCTCTGCGTGGAGAACACTTAGAAATTTGTGCAAATGCAAAGATTGCACGGGACATGAATTGCATGACTTCAAAGCTGTAATGAAATATCAAGTCAGAACTCAATTTTGATAAGTTTGATAATGGTACCAACTGTTTACTTTAAGGGACTTGTGTATAGAATTTGTAGAATTTGTGCCTTAAAGTTAAAAATTATTAAGGCTCTGGCCTATTAAAGTTATTTAAGTCAAAGTAATTCAGAAGGCTGTAGGCATGTAAGAGGCCAAACCTTGGAGCATAATTTGTCGGAGCATAATTTGTAAATCTGGGTCAAGAACAAGGCACAGCTGATCTGAATAACAAATACAGTGTTAACCAATGCCTACTTGTTGCTAAGATTAAGTTGAAACTTGTCCAGAGTACACTTGTCTGAAACCAAAATTTTATTGGATCCACCCGAGTTGCTCTCAATTCATTTGGTTCGGCATGATTCTAGAACACCCATCTGAAACGGGTGTAAGTTTCCATACGAATCCATACATGTATGAGTACTGTTGATGTCAATTCAAATCACTGAGCACCATTAATTTTACAATTAGGTACAGTTACATTATTGGGTCACCATTAAGCACCATTCAGTCATCATATAAAACCACAGACACCATTTAGTAACTAGTAAATACCAATGGTTTTTATGGTTACAGTTAAGCTACATTACCATTGTGTACCAGTGATTTGTTAAGGGGTGTCTTGACTTGCCAAAGAGTGTGTGCGTGCTCAAGTAAAGACAAATGCTGTCATCAAAATTGCCGAGAAAATGACTTTTTAAAATATATATGAACCTGCCATATTTGGAATTAAATAGGAGATGGGTTACTCATTCCTCTTTAATATTTGACTTTGAACCGTCAAAATAGGAAAGAGTGGAATGTGACTTTATGCTCATTTTGTCATGATGGGTCACACATGTGCTGTATTTGTACATAGCAAGTTGTTAAAATGATTTTCCTTTTTTTTTCAGTTGGGGTCTTTGGTGAAGAGAGACAAAGCCAAAGCAAAAGCTGATGTCCAACTTCTGAGAGATCGGAACCAGATTAAAAGACTGGACTTTGATGACATATGTGAATATGCTGGCAATATACACAATGAGGAAGATTACTAGGTTGTTCAAGAAGCTGTTAATTAGGAGACAGTGAGAACCAGAGGCTTTGTTTTTATGTTATCAAAATTTGTAAATAATACGCTGAGTGCATGAAGTTGGAGTTTATTGTGCAAGCCCCTTCCCTGTTCCACCATTGTTTGAAGAGCTGATGACTGCTTGGGACAGACCTCCATGGACAGTGGTAAGAGATGATACAGCATGCTTCATCTGGAACTGATGAACAAGTTCATTCCTACATTACAGGTGTATGTATGTGGAATGTATTTGGTATTAGTTGTTTTTTCTTTGGGGGGGTGCAGATACTCCACCCATTTTCTCTGCTGTCATTTCAGTGTACTTTTTTGTTGAGGATTGAGTTTTTCTGCTGATGTTTTGCAATAATTTTGAGAAAAATTAAACAAGTCATACTAATCTGGAAGAATGTCCACTTTTGCAAAACAGGCAGGCTAAGAATGTCAACTTTTCCCATTGGGTGTGCCAACTGAAAAAGTTTTAACTATAAACGTATACATGTAAGTGTGTTCAGTAAGTGGAAAAAAAAATCTGGTCGTATTGAATCAAAATACATGTACATGTAGGTGATCTGAAAACAGATATCTTTGTAAATGTGCATGCCAAGTTTTGAAAAGTTTGGTCAGGGGATATATACTGTACATATACATGTCGGAGTTGTACTCAACCAAGCCAAAGATGCACAGGAGGAATTATGCTACAAAATGCTGTTTAGGTATGAAAACAAATTTGTGGGTGTACTGTAGTTTTTATGAAAAGTAATCAAGAACCGTCACATCTGCTGTATTTTCATGAGATGAAGAATAAGAAAGAGTGTTACAGAAGTAAGGAAATGCACAAATATCGAAGCAGGCAACTAACTGCTAATTATTTCTCTGCCTGCATCCTCCAAAAGTTCATATTAGAGTACCTGTATTTGACAATATGCACAGGAGCTGTTAGGTTATGAAAAGGTTCTGTGTGTATTGTAATTATGAAAATAAATTCTGAAATTTGCATTCAAACTTTTCTCTGTGGAATATTAAAAAAGTTTTATATTTTGACCGAAAAGGTCACACAAAGTATATAGAAATGCAGTCTTCAAGAATTCCACACTGCAGTCTCCCCACCTTTTTTGTTCAGATACTAGAACAATTTTACATGTACATGTATCTTCTGCTCCTGAATAGAAATGGTATCACTCCTTGTACCGTGGGCTGTGTTAATGTACCCCTCCTCTACTGATAAACAGTCACAAGGTTGTAGCATTGTTCAGGTTCATGAAACATCTATGAGCAGCTTTTTCTTGCGAAAAGTCATCACCAGTGTTCAGGTATTAGTTGATTGGAGGGCCTGGTTAAATACTCCTTACAAATGTGTTTATTTTACCAAAACAAACAATGCAGTCTTGTATATATATTTGAGTTGTTCTTGTGAGAAGGTCTGTGCTGAAATTACCTGTGTATAGGGTCTCTAGAATTTATTTCTTGTGGGTTAATTGGATATGACATAATATACAATAACTGGATAAATCCCTTCCATTTGAGTGGTGGAAAGTTGATAACGTATCATCGAGTTATTCATTTTATTCAATGGTACCCGTTTAACTTCATTTCACTTGACCGATTCCTGCCCCAATTCATATACATGTATCTCATTCCGACTAAGGAAGAGTAAAATAATATGTGGATGGAAACTAGTCTAACATTGCACAGTACTGTCAGTGGGTACCTCTTTGGACATGAATCTATTACACAAAGTGACGGACACAAATACATGAGCGGGACCTGTTTGTTCTAATAGAAGAGGGTTTATGCAAGTATTGTATAAAACAATTAAGTGCATTTATCTGTCACCTCATGAAAGTATTCTTGTAGTACTCAGCTGAGACTCATGATCAAGAGCTGAATCTCAAAGGTCTGGTTCACCATCATTTTGCTCTGTACATGACAGGCATGCAAGGATCATACGTGCACACAGTGGACTGTCAAGAAGCTTTCCAAGACAGTTAAGATGTGTGCATTTTCTGAAGCAGTCATTGAACTGCTGCACAGGGGTTAGTACATGTATGCTTGTGTGAACTTCACCCATAATAGGATCAGAAATATCTTACTCAAAGTAGTATTATGTTTCTGTAATTTTCAATAGTTTAGTCATGATCTTTTCACTGCATCACTCAAGTTTATCTGGAATGGCCAAACTTGGGACTTGGAAGGTGTGCACTTCTGCCGTTTGTTCATTGCAGCCGAGGATAACATCAGGATATAAGCTGGTCCCAAATGAGGTGTAGACACCAGGTATAGATGTTGTCCAGTAGGACCACTATGTGGGGATGTACTATGTAGCTGTACATATGAATATTATTTTTGTTGGTCTATGAAGGATCAAGGTGACCACAGCTGTATTGCATATGGTACACTTGACAAAACTGACTGTGAAGGGATATGCAAAGCTTGATGAGAACAAACATCCATTTCCGATGTTTTCATTATTTTGAAAATGTGGGCATAAAAAAGCTTTATGTGATACAGAACCCCCCACCAATTTGCTTTGTCATTTTCTGCCACCAAGTAAACCCTCATTACAATTTAGCTGTGCCAGGACAGTACTTTGCAGCAACACTGCTGAAAACTGAATGCAAGAAAATCAGCGAGGTAAATAACCCTCATGGTTAAGGGAGTAATGAGACAGTTCAGGGGGTCAGTATACCTACATGTATCTATGCACATGTATTTAGCACACTAATTGGACTATTGCAGGGTTGGAGGACCAAAAAAACCCTTGGAGAAGAAAAAAGAAAAATTTAACCCTAACACCTAGGGTGTAATCCAAGCAAATTGGTGGGGGGTTCTGTATCACATAAGTCGTTGAAATCAGAGGATGTGGGACTAGTAAGGTTAATTGAATCCATTTTTTTAAAAACACTGTCGCGAATAAGTAATGCCAATTTTTTTTCATTTTGTTGTTTGCCTGAAATGGCATTGTTTGGAGTCAACAGGTTCCTAATTCAACAAATAAAATGTTGGCTTTATTGTGGAGCTTTTCTCCATGCTCTGAGAAATGCACAGTTTATTTCATCAAGTTCTGTGAATTCCGGGTGTTCCTGGCGAACATTGCATTTTATGTTATTTTAATCAGGCCAGCAACTCTAACCCGTTGAAACTGGATACCTGGTTATCCATTTGTTGAGTGGCAATTATTAAACTATATTGGGTAAATTTAAGATGAGTTAGTCCCCTGCAACTGGCGGTTAGACCCTCCCGGGTTGCTATTTCAATATGTACGCATATGTTGCAGATTACGTGGAGTTGTCATTGATCTTGGGTAAAAGCAAAGGCTGTTGTAGCATTTTTATTTCATGAAGGAATAATGTAGCCCAGTACTCTTGGATAACCAAGTTCTCTGCCAAATATTGAACTGGTTAAGATGGTCCAAAGCTATTAATTTACATTAAAAGATACCGCAACAAAGTTAACTGTGCGCCACCTGCGAGCATAACCGATCACACTCCTTAATGTCTTTGAATTCATTTTTGCCTGAGAGCACTCTGCAGGTATTTAAGACTGGTGCGCGCACACATTGGGGTGTTGGTCATTCTCTCGGTTTGTTTGTAGCCACTTTTTTTACGTTGGGGTAGTTTTTCGTTAGCCGTGCCCTCTGCTCCAGCCTTGTGCTTCCACTGGTCTTATTACCTGCAAGTGTTGCCCAATATTGTAATTCATGTACATGTACTTTTGCTAATTTGTAATTTGCTTTGTGTAATTTCAATACTAAAATTTGGGAGGCATCCCTGAAGTTTGTCTAGTTGCTGTGTGCTTTCCTTGGTTGTTTATTTGTATTCGTGTTCCCATTCTTTGGCCTGCCTGCCTTATTATAATACATGCACAAACGTAAGACTGCAAAAGAAAATAATGGACAATTACTATATAAATACTAGGCCACGCAGACTTGTACTCGAAAAAAAATTGAGCATTTTTTTAAAGAGTTCTCCTAAACTGGTTCTTGGTTTGTTTTAAATTGATTTTGTAATCATATTTTGTGGTTGTCCATCAATTTCAAATAGCCGTTGTTCTCTGCCTTGTCCCCTCCGAGTCATAACCGGTTGAAAATTTGACAGTGAAGTTGATGCTCACATTAAAAAATGAACTTGACCACAAAACTGAGAAAGAACACGATTTGAAAGGACTCACAAGATTGTACGGTTATTGTTGAAAAAGAAGATTTAAGCGTATAATTTTTATTCTCTGTACAAGCAGAGAAGTACCATACGACCACCTCAGATTGCAATATAGGTTGAATCATTTCAATGAGAGAATGATATTATTCGCCTTATTCTCATCACTGGTGGCCATGGTGAGCTTAAAAATCATCAAAAAGGGTAACAAAACATTCCAGACAAACCCCTATTCACAGAGGGAGCATCTCAGATTGAAAACTTAACCAAGACATCATTATTGCTCAGTTTTGATGCAATAGATTCTTCAGCAATGCTACAGACCTCCAAGCAGGGTAGCCTGGCCACACAACAGACAGACAGGACATGACAAGACAAACTAACGAAAACACACATTCGTGTAAGCATGTTGACTGAAAAGACGAACGGCAACAGGAAGTGAATTTCAAACAGCAACCGTCATGAAAAACTACGGTAGAAGATTAAAGGACGGAAACAGGAAGAAAAGAACGAAGTCTGTGGAAACACGCACCCATGAAACTGAACGCGCTATTCACAAAAGCATATTGCATGATCTGAAAACCAATATTTAATACTGACCGTGCAGTTCGTGCCTGACGCGCTACTGACTGTGGTAGTCTTGGTTTCAAGACGTCTGTTACTGTCGATGTTACTTTGGTGTAATTCACGTTTTTCGCGCTATCAATTTTGCCAATCAACAGAGGGCACTATGGACCAAGACCCACGCCGTCCGCGTAATATTTCAAGGAGGGGCCGGTTAAAATGGGGCGCCCTGTATGAATTTTAGGGGCCGTCCAAAGTTTTTAACATTTCCAAAGTAGTACACAGAGTACTATTTTTCAATAGAGGGGATCTTGAAAAGTACTCTGAAGGGCGAGTTGACCTACAATCGCTATATGTACTGAGCTGAGAGACGTGATTGTGCTGATCGGCTTGGCACGAGTATGTACACTACATGTAGGCTTAATGGCTTAATAGTACTTCTTGAACTCCATGGTTGAATCATGACCACTGGTCAGCGGCGGGCCGGTCTGTGCTACGGTGTCGCGGCTGGCCGTGAGTACGATGCATGCAAACCTGGCTTTTACTCTCCACTGAATCCAGCTTTCAGCACGCAACTGTGGTGAATACGTTAAGGCTTGCTTTTTCTTGAAGTTTCATATTTTACAATTGAATGAGAATACTTCTGAAAAATCAACATTTCACAGGATCCAAAAAGCAGCCCACGACCCCTCCTCCTTCATACGCTTTGTACGACCGTGAAAATGTTGAAAAATTTATTTTATTATTTATATTATTTACGTTAGATTTTATTTTTTTGTTGAGTACTTATAAAGTCATGAATACGGGCGTTTCACAATAGTGCACCTCCAAGAGTCTGCAACGCGTTGA